ACGCAGGCGTCTGAGCGCAGTAATCTGTTAGAGAGGCCTGCAGCCAGTCTCTTCTTCTTCCTCTTTCTGACCGTCCTCTCAGGCCCATGCTATCCATTAGCAAGCATTTAATCACTGCACCATTTACTGGAAACCGCTGTCTGTCTGTAGTGTGGGTATGTCTACTTGTGTGTCATTTTGTAGCATTAGCAAATTCACACAATGTATTCTTAAAGTAAACAAAATGGACTTCTTAAAAACTAATCACCATCACAGGGTGTAGGGAAAAAAATCCACTTTTGGCCAAATGAACTAAGAATGAAAGACAAATCTGAAAATCTATGACAGCCATGTGGAAAATGTCGACCAGAGTTTAGCTGCATCTACACTTTACTGATGTATGTATCTCATTGAGAAGCTGACTGGACTCAATTGGGCCACATCAGGGCAGAAAAAAAATTTCACATACCTTGCCTGTGATCATGTAGCATGCAGATAGATTATCTACAGCTAGGATGTTGAACTAAAGTAAAATCTTCTTCATCATGGTGGATTTGCTTTGCAGTTAAGTTTAAAGTTCCTTTCAGGTTGCTGCGCTGCAATTTCTCCCGACCTGGGATACATACTTCTTTACATTCCATAGTTGCTCTTGTTCATATGGGCATATAAAGAAGTATGTCCCCCAAGCAGGCCACTGTCCTTGGTGGCGCATCAGGCCTCACACCTCCTCCTCGCTGCCAGCCCAAAACGCTCGTCAATGGGGAGGGGAAAAAAAGTGTCGAATCAGGAACTGCGCTGACCACTGAATGCATTTATGACACTCACCAGTAGCACAGGCTTCAGGGTTCACTCCTCCCATCCCAACAGAGAGAGTTCTTTTGATGCTAACATGCCAAACTTTTCTGCCTATTAGAATAAGGACCCAGCTTTTTGTTCTGACCCGTGGACCAAAAAAGAGCCGAGATGATTTAAAACTTTAATTAAAGGAGAAATCCATGCAGCTAGTTTACACTTTTTTTCATTGAAAAGAAAACACCTACAGCTGCCACCAACAAGTCACTATCAACGCTTAAAACACTATGAGAAGACACTTGTAATAAGCCACTATGTCTGCCCACCATGTGACCGCTGAGCTTTGAAATATTGTACATTATGAAGTGATTTTTCTCAAACACACACACACATGCACACACAGCACGCAATTCACCTTGAGTGTCATACTTAGAGGTTCAGCTGCTGTGGGGTGAAGGAGGTGTGGGAGTAAGAGAATGATGGGAAATAAGGGAGATGTTGCACTTACCTACAGGCAGATGTTGGCTAGAAGCCCCCCAGCACGTACACACACACACACACACACACACACACACACACAGACACACTCACACACAAAAATTACCTCTGGCTCTCAGCTATCAGGGCCACGTGAATCACAAT